GTCTTCTCCGCAACCACAGCTTTACCCCTTTTAAGACTCAGTGTGACCTTAGTAAATGGTCCCCCCAGCACGGCACCCGAACGCGTCGTAAGCTCCTCTCTTCTATCTGCGGGTTATTGTGTTTTGTTCCAGTCACTTGCATTGATTTTTTTTTTGTTATTTAAAGTTACCATCAAGCGGAGACTATTGTCACCAAGATTACTAATCTTATTCACGAACGCCAGACCTCCGCCCCTTGTTTTTACACTTGGTACTACATCACTGTTCCCCCTACGTTCTACCCATTCCATGTTTCCACACACCTGTCCGACTTTTGGCAGTGGTCCCACAGAGCCTCGTTTTTCTATACCCTCATTCCCAGCACCCAACTGCCCTCCATCATTCACATCACTCACCACCACACTCATCCCCACCACTCAGTCACTCCCAGCACCCACCCAACCTAGGTCTGGATAGCATCATTGACTTCTCGAACGCATTTCTCATTTGAGTGCAACTCTAAAAGTTCGTCCCTGAAAAGCCGCATCGCTTCTGGCGAAAACAATATTCGGAATACTGATAACAAAATTGAAAAACCTGAATACAACTCTACATACAGTAATAATAACATCCATATAAGATTACCACTTATGCCTCTCCCAATGGCTTTCCTAACAACATCTCCCATAAACTTTATTTGTAGGTATATGATCATTTAGGTATTCTTACTCAGTTCCTTATCCACCCACCCCACAGCACTCTCCCACACCACCAGCAACTCTCCCACACCCCAGACTCTCCCACCCCCCAGCACTCTCCCACACCACCAGCACTCTCCCACACCCACCAGCACTCTCCCACCCACCAGCACTCTCCCACCCCACCAGCACTCTCCCACACCACCAGCACTCTCCCACACCACCAGCATCTCCCACCCCACCAGCACTCTCCCACCCACCAGCAACTCTCCCACACCACCAGCACTCTCCCACCCCACCAGCACTCTCCCACACCACCAGCACTCTCCCACCACCAGCAATCTCCCACACCACCAGCAATCTCCCACACTCACCAGACTCTCCCACACTCACCAGCTACTCTCCCACACCACCAGCACTCTCTCACACCACCAGCCACTCTCCACACCACCAGCACTCTCCCACACCACCACGCACTCTCCCACACCACCAGCACTTCCAACACCAGCACTCTCCCGCACCATCACACCACACACCGCACTATCGCACACCACCATCACCACTATCCCACACCACCACCACTACCCCACACCACCATCGCTCTCCCACACCACCACCACACTATCCCACACCACCACACTCTCCCACACCACCACCACTCTCCCACACCACCACCACTCTCCCACACCACCACCACTCTCCCACACCACCACCACTCTCCCACACCACCACCACTCAACCAAACCCCAGGCTCGGGGAAAAGCTGTCAGCAATGTAAATAGTGGAAAAAACGTGTTTGCAGAGAGCTGAGGTGCTGGAGGGAATAAGAGCCAACGTATGGCGCAACTTGTGTTGTCTTAAAGGAGAGATCATCCCCACCATAACCTTCTTGACCCTAACCAGCCCTACCACAATGTCTACCACCATCACCATCCTAAGACCTCCACCATCCTTTTGCACTATTCTACAACCACCACTATCCTCGTCAGCGACGCCCCACTAGCACTTCTTCAGTCCCTACCTTCGACACTATTCTCGCCAGCACAACTGTTCCAACCACAATATCTCCCCCGTTATAAAACCTTATTTAGTGCTGTCACCTTACCACTATCTTCACCACTGCTATCATTCTTGCCAGCACCAACGTGCCTACCAGTACCACTGCTTTCATCGTCATAAAATATCACTGTTCCTACCATGCAACACCACCATCTTTTCCACCATCATCCCTACCAGCACTACCATCATCCCTACCAGCACCACCATCATCCCTACCAGCACAACCATCATCCTACCAGCACACCATCATCCCTACCAGCACAACCATCATCCCTACCAGCACAACCATCATCCCTACCAGCACAACCATTATCCCTACCAGCACTACCATCATCCCTACCAGCACAACCATCATCCCTACCAGCACAACCATCATCCCTACCAGCACAACCATCATCCCTACCAGCACAACCATCATCCCTACCAGCACAACCATCATCCCTACCAGCACACCATCTATCCCTACCAGCACTACCATCATCCCTACCAGCACAACCATCATCCCTACCAGCACAACCATCATCCCTACCAGCACCACCATCATCTCTACCAGCACCACCATCATCTCTACCAGCACCACCATCATCTCTACCAGCACCACCATCATCTCTACCAGCACAACCATCATCCCTACCAGCACAACCATCCACACTACCACCTTTCCCTAAGAGCACTACGGTTCTCTTCAGTATCCATCCATCCATTCTGCTCACTACTATCACCACAAACATCATCAACAACAACTACTAATGACCTAAATGACCACCGACTACCAATACGAACGACCACAATTACCACCACCCACCATCTACCAGTACCGCCACGTGTAGTCGTAATCTGTGAAAGATCCCAAAGCAGAATACATATTCGCCCTACGATAGAAGATTTCATCTGTAAAGCTGAATTACCCAAAGGTATAAAAAACACACTATAAATATTAATAAAAATGCAAATGTAGCAGAGTGTTGAGCTCCGGCTTTCACAATGCTGCTGGTCATAGATCTTTTTACAGTCTTTATCGGTTTTCTGCATTTACTCCCATATTCCATATTTTATATCTCTGTAAATTTGGTCTTTATGTATATGAATAGCAACACTGTGACTTGCCAAGGATTCGAACTCGTGTTGTTTTAGCCCACCTCATGGTGAGCGAAAATTTACGACGCTCTAACCCACGGGAGTATGCAATCCTACAAGAGTCATTCACCCAGGAGAGCTAGGTGTTGTACCGCGATTCGAGGATATACGATGGTATGTTCTAGGATCACGGTATAACACCTAGCTCTGCTGGGTGCGTGATTCTTATAGGATTGTATGGTCGTGTGGGTTAGAGCGTCGTGAATTTTCGCTCACCATGATACGGGCTAAAACAACACTGGTTCGAATCCTCGGCAAGTCGAAGTGTTATATATATATATATATATATAATATATTATATATATATATATATATATAATATATATATATATCATATGGCTTATAAACAAGGCTGCCCACCTTTTGAGGCATCTGTGACCGAGTGGTCAAGTGTGTCACTTAGGGAACCTTGCCAGCCTCCCTGACGTTTTCATTGTATTTGGAGGACAACTACAGTGGAACAAAATATCTACTGTTTTGTTCCTATTTCAGCCTTCAAAGGGGCTCTTAGCTGCACATTTTACCCTTGTATGGCCATTTCAGGTTTCTATGCTTATATTTTCATTTCCTGACATCACTTGCACTATGTACTTCCTCTAGCCTATTTTTTCTCCTCCCACTTTATTTCATTTTTCGTGTGGATCTGGTTAAACCCCAATATATATCCCTGTTTCATTTTTCCTCTCTTCATGTTCGTGTCTTCTCCCTCCATCTCTTGTCGTCTCTCTTCTTTCACATTCAACCACACTCTTTTCAGGGATTTCTTGTTCCATAATAGTCACAGTTTTAGTATGATTTTTCGATTATTTTCTCTTTTCCTTCTCTTCGGTGGTTCTCATCCTTTTGACCACCAAGGACCCCTTTTTATTTAAATTTTGCCATTGACCCCAGGCTTGGTATATTCTGTTCAGCAGCCCATAAGACCAATAGTTTAAAAAAAAAAGATCTAAAAAATTGGACTATTCCTACCGATTTAGAAAAGGCTTTGAAATTTTGGAAGTTTATCTTTATCAACCTTATCGTGAGTAATTATACATATCACACATAAAAAACTGAACTTAGCTCACGGACCCCCAGTACTACCTTTGTGGACCCGCAGGGGACCGTGGACCACAGGATAAGAACCGTTCCTCTAGTGCAACATGATTGATTTCCTATTTAACTCAGGCATGGAAGTATATTGTGGGTGTGGTAGGTGAGCGCAGCACACCCACCAAAGACGGTAAATTCGTCATAAATGTTAAGCTCACTCAACAATACAATCATTGATCATAATGGGAAACTAATTTTTCTGTCCCTTGTTATGATACATTTTGACAGTTGTTGTAAGATAACAGTGCACACCCCACTGCTAGTTGCATCATGCACAGTGCTCGCCCTATGACAATAACCCACCATACGCCACTGTATCATCTTCATTATTGTTTTTCTGGCCATCACCACCGTGCCTGCCAGCACCACCGTGCCTACCAGCACCACCGTGCTTACCAGCACCACAGTCTCTACCAGCACCACAGTCTCTACCAGCACCACAGTCTCTACCAGCACCACCGTCCCTACCAGTATCATCCCTTTCGGCACCATCACTATCCCAAATCACCACAACAATGTATCACTATTCCTACCATGCAACATATCATGATATAAGCGATTCTTTTTTAGAAAGAAAAACAGGCCTAGTCTTGCAGGCTCATTTCATTTTAGCTCTCGAGTTGTTTCCTTAACATTCTGGCTCATGAAGTGTTTTCTTTCAGCCTCCATTCCTTTCTTACAGGATGATCTCGGTTTTCTCAGTATTTCTCTGTGCTTCAAGTCCTCCCTTTATCAATAACTTCACTCATGCTTGCTTTTCTTCTTCTTTGCGTTACTGTTACAGGGTAGGTATTGTTGGTGTGTGTGTGTGTGTGTACGTACGTACTCACCTGTATGTAGTTGCAAGAGTCGTGAATGTTTGTGTGTACTCACGTACATGTGGTTGGAGGAATCAGATCATAGGTGACTCTGTTTGTGTGTGCGACTGATGAGCGGATATTACAATATTACTGATCATTATTTCAAGTACAAATTATTACCAAGCTATTTAGTGAATGCTTAATGTAACTAACAATGTGTGTGTCTGGTTCACAGGCTCGCAGCCGCCACTCACCACCACCACAGCAGGCGACCAGACAACTCAAGAAGACCTGCCAACCGCCCACTTCCGTCAGCGTCTATACTTCTCCGCCATCAGGAGTACCTCGCCTCCCCCTCCTTCTTTCTTCCTTGCCTCACCTTCCTCCATATCTCCCTCCTTCTCATCATCTTCCTTCTTCTCCTTTTACTCCTCCTCTTCCTCTTCCTCCTCTTCGCCTTCTTCTCTACGTGCCCTCCTGCGCCAATCAGGATCGAGCGCACCATTCCCTCAACTGCGCCGCCTCCGCCGTACTTCGATCCCTCGTCACCAACTAATGTGTCAGCGCAGCTGGGGACGCAAGCCTTCCTGCCCTGTAGAATCAGGAACCTGGGCAACCAGTCGGTAAGAAACATTAAAACTACCGTCCCTCCTCCTATGCTATGCAGGACAGAAACACCCACCACATGTCAGGATCAGCAGAGGAGACAGACAGCCCACTTTAGTCTCTCCTCTACATTATATTTCTATTCTATCATAACCTCTGCACCGCCGTTATTACCTTCACTTCCTCTTAAAATTATCAATTCTACACACTGGCAGAATTTCTGGTATTTTCATATTGTTTCATGAACACATAAGATGTCAGGTAATTCCTATAAACTTTTGCATACATTTATATCGCACTGTATAATCCACGTGGGTTGAGCACTTCACATATTATGGAAAATTATTATTAATATTTATAATCATCTCTCAAGCGATTTTTCAGCAGAGATGTGACCGATCTTCCAAACTTCAAATAAATAAGCAGCATTTGGTAGATGTGAAAGGTAACGGGAGAAGATATAAGGAAGAGAGGAAGGAGAAATATACAAGTAATGGGGAAGACGTAAGCGGGGTCATAAGGCAGAGAGATAAGAGATGGGGAAAGAGATAAGAAACGGATGTGGGAAGAGACTAGAGGGGATGGAGGAAGATATACGAGGTAATGGAGAAGCCTTGGTTCCAGTCCAGTAGATATTTCGTCCATTTCTCCTCATTCTGCTGAGATCACAAGGTTTACATTCTCTCCTTATCTCCTCTTCGCTAGACTTAGTCTCCTGGGTCGTGCGTGCGGCTTTGCTCCCTGAGCGATTACCTTCGGTATAGTCTGACGCTTAAAAATTGTAATAGAAATATGTATGCATGCATGGGTGCACGAGTGCGTGCGTGTGTGAGTGCATGTGCATTCGTGTAGGAGTTACCTTGTATCAAAGGCTCTGTTTAAATAGACTCTTGGACTGGTGTATGTTTATGTGTTCGTGTACGTGTGTGTGTGTGTGTGTGTGTGTGTGTGTGTGTGTGTGTGTGTGTGTGTGTGTGTGTGTGTGTGTGTGTGTGTGTGTGAGAGAGAGCCAATTTACTCTCCTTGGAGCCTAGTCTCGACTCCTGATCCGCCTCTTATGATCACCATTACTATTTTTTGGATACTTGAGCCTCGTCATGCCTAATTATGAAACTGCGTACAGAATTTGCCCCCACAACTTCCAAACCCAGGTCATTCCACTTCCCTGCAGCAAAGACACTTCTTTTATATTCATTACATAAGATCATAAGAACATAAAAAAGATGGAGGACTGCAGCAGACCTACTGGCCCACGCGAGGCAGGTCCAATCCTCCTACCGTCTTATGCCAACGCTCTAACCTAGTCACGGCAAGTCACATGCACTTAATGAAGGCACACGGCGTCTGACCTAGTAGCACAAGCTAGTCACGTCCAACTCACACCCACCCACACCCACTCATGTATTTATCAACCTATTTTTAAAACTACACAACGTCTTAGCTTCTATAACGGTACTCGGGAGTTTGTTTCACTCATCCACAACTCTATTACCAAACCAGTGCTTTCCCATATCCTTCCTGAATCTTAACTTTTCCAACTTAAAGCCATTGCTGCGAGTCCTGTCTAGCCTAGATATTTTCAGCACGCTATTACCTCATCGTCTGGTTGTAAAGGTAAGACACTTCATTCGTCATTTTCCTATGTTTATTGAGGAGACATTTTGCCAACTCAACAGACTTCTTCAGTCAAAATACAGAGATGGCATATGTAGTGGAGATGTAGATGTAAAATGGTCACTGCTTCAGCTTGAGGTGATCAGTCCCTCAGCCTCGGTGTGTGATCAGTCCCTCAGCCTCGGTGTGTGATCAGTCCCTCAGCCTCGGTGTGTGATCAGTTCCTCAGCCTCGGTGTGTGATCAGTCCCTCAGCCTCGGTGTGTGATCAGTCCCTCAGCCTCGGTGTGTGATCAGTCCCTCAGCCTCGGTGTGTGATCAGTCCCTCAGCCTCGGTGTGTGATCAGTCCCTCAGCCTCGGTGTGTGATCAGTCCCTCAGCCTCGGTGTGTGATCAGTCCCTCAGCCTCGGTGTGTGATCAGTCCCTCAGCCTCGTGTGTGTCGTCCCTCAGCCTCGGTGTGTGATCAGTTCCTCAGCCTCGGTGTGTGATCAGTCCCTCAGCCTCGGTGTGTGATCATCCCCATCATTCTGAACCTTTTCAAGGTTCTGAATACATCTATGTGTGGAATTCACACTGTTGACCCGTATTACGGTATTATCGTATTATGGTATTATGGTATGGACCCAACCGTGGAGTTCAGTTCGATTAAACTCGACCAGTAACTAAAATCCTTCTCAAGTGTTTATGAAACCTGTTTCTTCCCTCTCCCTTCGTAGTCTCCTCAGTAGTTTAGCATCACAAAACCTTAAGATTCGATCCTATTTGACAAGTAATTTATTAAAATCAGGAACAACAACGAAAACAACAAGAATCCTTTAAGAGTTCAGTTGTTACCTTCTCTCCCTTCTTGGTAAGTTAGACACAGACAACATTTAGGCATCTTAATTCCGAAACGTTTCGAATGAAGAATCCTACTGTGTGAGTAGGATTTTTCAGTCGAGTACAAAAGTAGGCAGGAGCAGTAGAATTGTGAAGACGATATAATCAGTCCATCATCCTCGAAGTTGTAGATTTGAAGCTGTCAGTCCCTCAGCCTGGAGAAAAATTGTTTCATAGTCTGGAACAATCTGAAGAACAAGCGACAGTGTGGAGACTCATATACTGTCAGCAGGAGAGGTGTAGAGTAGTAGAAGAAAGAATGTAATCACCGAGAGGTCACGTCCCTCTCAGATCCAACTATTCTCTGTTGAAAAAGTTGTCCAAGGTGTTTTCCCTTCTGTACCAAGATACCATTGTGTTGCAGTGTCTGACAGTAAATATCAAAATGGTATACAATAACTTACTAACTTGCCGGTATTGTATACCATTTTGATATTCTCTCCCTCCTTCATATTACCTCTTTCATGTACGTTTTGATCCCACTAGAATTTCATTATGCTTCTGCTGACTCTTCTAGCATACGTATTAGCATGTGTCAAATACTTTCTTTCAGTCCAGGAAGATGCAGTCCACCCATCTCTTTCTCGCTTGTTTTACGTCAGTAACTATCATAGAACTCCAGATAGTATTATGTCTGTGTTAAACGCACCATCTGACATACCATGAACAATTGTCGCAATAGAAGACATCCGAAGGCTTGTTGCACCTCGTGTCTCGTGAAGCTGCAGCACACACACCAGGTCCAGCACCTCGTGTCTCGTGAAGCTGCAGCACACACACCAGGTCCAGCACCTCGTGTCTCGTGAAGCTGCAGCACACATACCAGGTCCAGCACCTCGTGTCTCGTGAAGCTGCAGCACACACACCAGGTCCAGCACCTCGTGTCTCGTGAAGCAGCAGCACACACACCAGGTCCAGCACCTCGTGTCTCGTGAAGCTGCAGCACACACACCAGGTCCAGCACCTCGTGTCTCGTGAAGCTGCCGCACACACACCAGGTCCAGCACCTCGTGTCTCGTGAAGCAGCAGCACACACACCAGGTCCAGCACCTCGTGTCTCGTGAAGCTGCCGCACACACACCAGGTCCAGCACCTCGTGTCTCGTGACGCAGTAAACACACGAGGCAGCATCTGGTTCCCTCTCCCACAAACTTCACTAACGACGCGATCTTTTCTGCTTCCTGCCTGTTTCTAAACATGTAATATACACAGCTTCGTCCCCAACAGCCAGCGCTAGTCGAAAAGAAAATCTAATGTACAAGACGAAAGCGTACAAACTGCCTCTCAAAAATGCTTTTCTCAACTTTAAATTCTGCAAGGCAACTCTCTCGTTTGAAGTGATGTTTGTTCTCTGAGTGAAGTCAAAGACATGTAGGAGAACAAGCGTCTAGGGAGAGAATTTCAGTGGGTATCAGGATACGATATGAAGAACAGGGTTTTATTGAGGCTATGTTTCTCGCCCAGGACCAAGTTTCATGAAAACTAAATGGTGAGCGAAATGTCCCAGTGTCTTTATATCCATACTTGTCGACAATACACCTTAACAGCTAAAGCTTTTCGAAGCTTTTGAGGACTTGAGACAGCTCTTCTTAGAGCGAAATGTTGTCGATAATACTACCAGTATTACCAGTCATCCTTCTGCATTCAGATCACGGATTCAAGAACAATGATAACCACTCAAAATAACCGAATTAAAATACACTTCGAGTTGCCTTCCAATTATTAAACCTACAAAGCAAACCTGTCGCTATTTTTTCTGTCTCTGCCTTACGAAATTGAAAACTATGACCTCAACCTGATAATACAGGAAAATGTAACTTTTAGGCAGGAAAGCGAAGTGGAACATGGTTTATATTTTTCCATTCGTTTTTGTTGCACAACCATTTTTCTTAAGGCGAGAGAGTACGCGAGAGAGAGGGGAGAGAGAGAGAGCTAGAGAGAGAGAGAGTAGTTTGCCTCTCTTGAGCTGCGATACATTATCTAGTATCATTTCGGTATCTCATGTTCATCCTTTTACACATCTTTTGTTTTCCCTATTGCTAAGAAATCTTTTATTTTCTATTCCTTCAAGAACTTGTGTATTTCTACCACGTCGTCTGTTTCCCACCAAACCAGAGTGACCCAAAGAAGGAAGCACATTCAACCATCACTCATTCGATAGCTGTCTCGCGGGGCCATCAACACATTTCAAATGACCCTCCGGACCACGACATCCCTACCCATCCTTCAGGGTGCAGGAGCCATCCCGTGGCTATATCTCTTCTGTGGCAATCGACCTACGAGGGGTACCTTCAGTCCTTTCAATATTTCCTCGTAAATTTTAATTGCTAGCAGTGGGAGGCATTTTTCACCATGATTGGGACCTTTCCTATTTTAACTACCTTTTATCTGCTCTTCATCAACCTTTTATCCAGCCTTTTACTTTTATTTGCGGACACCACAGTACAGCTGCATATTCCAATTTTGGTCTGTCGTATGTTGTGAAATTCAGTTTTATAGAATTCCACCATGTAGTTACAGTAA